AAGCTGCCCATTTAGCAGCGTAAGACGCAATGGTAGAGGGCGCCCGCGCACTCTGAATCGTGGTGACCACATCATGCGGCAGCCCAGAAACCCCTAATCGAAACCGCTCAGCGGCCAGACCCACAGCCGATGGCTTATTTCCGGAGGATGTCTGATTATCCCATCCGCCTGGGGAGGGGCGTCCTCCCTTCGCGGGAGTCTCCACGGGGAGCTGGACAGTAGCGCTTGCTGGTCCGGAAGCCATGACGCGGACAGGCGTCTGGGAGCCACCAGAATTACCGAGAGGCGAGAGCTGTTCTGACCGAACTCGGTCCAGGAGACGGGGAATCAGAGGGACTGGTGGAAACGCATAAAGGAGCGTTCGAAGCCCGGGCTGGTGTGAGAAGGCGTCCGCTCTGAGCGAGGTTTGGTCCCGGAGACACAGGGAAAACCACAGGCGACACTGAGCGTTTTCGCGAGCCGTGAACAGATCCACACGGTTCCCCGAACCTTATCCAGATCTGTGATATCAGCGCGGGATGCAGACGCCAGTCAGAGTCGCGGGGACCCCCTCTCGACAGGATGTCTGCCGCTACATTCAGGATCCCCGGAATGTAGGTGGCACAGCAGGTGGACATGTGCCCAACACAGTAAATCTGTGGCTATGCGCAATAGAGGGGGGGATCGAACTCCCCCCTGGCGATTTATGTAGGCTGCCGCCACCTGGTTGCCTGTGTGAACTTCGACATGACGGCCATCGAGAAGGGCAGCGAAGTGCATGAACACATTCCTCACTGTCATAAGCTCCAACACATTTATGTGCTCGTGCGTGTGGGAGGGCCAGCGATCTGCCGCCGTATGGTACAAGCACCTGCCCTCCACCCCAGACAGTGACGCATCCGTAAACACAGATACGTGTGACGCAGGACGTCCGATGGGAATCCCGTGTGAGGGGATGCAGGGATTCCCCCAGTGAGCGAGGTCCCCGCCCACTGAGGGGGGAACCCTCAACATACGTCTCTTCTGACATATCGGGTGTACCCGGAGGCAGATGAACCAACTTTGCAGGCGCCTCGAGTGCAACAACCCCTGCAGCACCACCGAGTGGGCTGCAGCCATCATGCCCAGAAGTCTCATGACTAACAGGGCTCTCACGATCTTGCGGGGTTGCACGCGGGAGATCACCGTGGTGAGATCTGCCGCTCTCACCGGCGACGAACGTGCTCTCATTAGAGAGGCGTTCAGCTCCACCCCGAGAAACATAATCGACTGGGATGGAAGAACAGAGTTCTTCCCCCAGTTTATAGAAAACCCCAGGGTTGACAGATGCTCTGTTAACCTCCTGGTTTGCACTGACGCCCCGTCCTCGGACCGGGCGCATCGGAGAAGATCGTCCCGGTAAAATAAAACCCTCGTTTCCGCCGTGCGCAGTGGCTGCAGCGCGGTCTCCAGACATTTGGAGAAAGTGCGCTGGGCTAGCGAGTAGCCGAAAGGGAGGCATTCGTGCGCGCGTTCCGACAGCGGACGTGTGCTCGAAGTCACGTGAGCAACGTCTGAGGATTGGTTTCGCGCCCTTACCGCCGTCGCTCATACCAGAGAACTGGGAGCGACCCATGGAGGGCTGTGATCGAAAGAGCGAGTGTGAAACAGCTGGAAGAGGCTGATCCGCACCGCAGAGCGTGGAGTCCATGAAGGACGAGTGGGAGCCGGGCCCGTGCACGGGAACATCAAAGTGCCAGCGGATGGAGCCGCGCAATGTGCGCGCTTTGCGCGTGGTCGCGACAGCGCCATGACATCCCGTCCCACCCAACGTTGTGGGGGGAAGCGGGATGAGTCGGGCCTGGCCGTAGGCTGGGGGCGGTGCGCAAATGGAGCGCACCCTTACAGCTACCCGTGTAACATGACCGAGTCCGACTGTGTGAACATGCAGATGTGCTGCAGTGCTTGGTGCGGGGAACATCATGTGTGAGGGTTCGGCAGAAGGTTCTGCAGAGGACTGTAGGATTGTGCTCTCGATGTGACGTTTTTTGGGTTTTTATTTCAAAACCAAAATAATTCACAGAGTTAACATTGCAGCCATAAGCACACATATTCCCCCCAACGAGTCGTTTTCGTGGTTGTTTTCGGCGAGGTTCCTGTGACTGCCAAGGCTGTGTCTGCTAGCTCGTTCGGAACCGTTGGCCGCTAACTCCCTGGTCCCGCCTCAGCGGGAGGCCGGCTCCGCGGGGCAGGCCATGCAGCTGGGCGCATGGAGTTTCCGCGCCGTTCGTCCCATCCTCTGGGGGAACGGCCGGAGTGCGAGGCTGACCGAGAGTGGACCAGGTCTCGCACCGTGGCTGAAAGTTCAGCCGCTGAGCCCTCTAGATGACGCTCGTAAGATGGGGACCAAACAGAACGTCAGAGGTGATGTGGCCTTCCAGCATCTCTCTGTGCAGGTGTTCCGGAATGGAGGGCAGGGCCATGAGCCACAAGGCCGCTGGATAAGGGTCTGCCAGGCAGCAATGCGAGCAGAACCGGTGAG